ATATTACTCGTGGAAAGTTTTCCATTTTTATCTGGGAAACTTGGAAAATTCAGGGAATTTCAAAATTCATTTTCTGTGGCAACCCTGTTATGCAACACACGAATGATACTGAGCATTATGAATATTGTTGATTGTGATTATCTGTTTTTTTTTTACATTTTTTATCATGCGCACTGTCATTTTTTTATTGATATTAATGCATTTAATATCAATGTTATCTTTAATATAACGTTAAAAATTGAAATAAAAATGGATTTTTTATAATGAAATATTTGGTGAAAATATCAGGAGTTTCTATATTAAATAATATAAAAACGAAATATAAAGAAGACATTATAAATTCATAAAATTAATGACAAAATAAGGCTCAATCCAGAAGATTTTAAAATACGCAAAATAGATTTTTATGGGATTTATGGTACTGTAAGGGCGATTATTGAATCATCTCAGCTCTGTTTATTGTCTTCGCACTTTAATCACTTTAGAGTAGCTTGCTAGAAACAGATTGCTTTCAACGAGGTCGTTGGCAAACTAAATGAACATAAAAAGCCCTCAAAAAATTATTTTTGCTAAGCCTCAATTATAATCTTCTTTTCAAGTGATTTTTCTTTTCTTCTCCATAATTAATAAATTTGTAAATAGAAACAAAAACAATTTGAATTCATAAATTTTTAAATTCTAAATTTCTTAAACATTTTAATCTTTATTCCTAGACTCCTAGATTTTGCATTTAGAATTTTCTGTTTTATACTTTTGGATTCGTGGATTTAAGCTTTTAAAATTTAAATTTTCAAAAAAAATAAAAATACATTTACCTTCCTCATTAAAAATAAAAATGAGAAAAAAATTTCTGCATTATCAATAAACCGATCTTTTAAGAAGTATATAAATCATTATTACATACATTCAACGGATTTATATAAATTACGGAATACTTTTGAGACTTGCCATCTCCATTGCGCTTGCATTGGCCGACGCATATACTGATGTAAAAAAAGATACGCATATCCCTCTCGATTCTCGCATTTCACGGCGCTATAGGCCGAAAATAACAATGCTAACGCGTTAAGACGATTCTCGCATACCTGTCAAGCAGAGGCAACTATAAACGAAACGGATGCGCCAGCTGTCAAGCTAAGGTCGCTCTGCGCTCCGTCACAAAGTCGTAGTCCCGCTCTCAATATTCCATACGGTCGCACCCCACGCTAAGTCAATGGAAGTATTTTCGGCGTTGAACACGCTCTCGGAATCATTAAGCGACCTCGACTAGTCGAGAGAAATAGTGAGTACGTCTCTTTATCCACGAAGAAAATTGAGGCGTTCAGGCTTCAGTGCAAGAGTGAGGTAACTGAAGTAAGCATACAATTTGCGAGATTCGGTTTCAAAATTAAATTCGGTCTCATATTCAAAGTGGATCTTATTATTAATTATGAACTGACTCCTTATTCTCTTTTACATTAAAACACGTAATTTTAATTAAAGGGAGATCTCTCTTTAAAAATATATAGAGATTGCGTGTAATACACATCTAAAAGATCCAAGAATATAAAAATTTTATGATCTAAGAATTTAGAGAATTAAAGATTTAAGTCTTCAAATAATCTGTTAATTTTAAAAAATCTTTTCATCTTTCTTTCAACGTCTGGACACACAAGGAAGATTTTGTCTACAATCTCAAAATTAATTCGAGCAATATATCATGTAAAAAATAAACTATATATATATGTGTGTATATATCTAGATGAATAAAATTCAACGAAACTTAAAACACTCCTTGCATGACCACGTATAATAGGCTTCGGCATGCAAAATCATTCATTTCCTGCTACAAACGAATTTCGTGAGAGAAACTCCACTTTACACCTTTAAATACACCCGCGGTTGAAATTTAAATTCCGATTGCATTCGATTCATGCACTTGTATGGAAGGATAGATTTAGAAAATTTCAAAACAACTTTTCGAGAAATTAAACTTTATTAAAATTATTATTTACATTATTCGTGCATAGTTGGCGTTCTTTCGTAAAAGATAATTTAAGATTTGCGTGTAAATAAAGAACATTATGAAAATATTTAAGAATCAACTAAATGTCTTGAGATACAAAGAAGGTATCTACAATTAACACTCCTAAATTATTCATCTAATGCAGCGCGACGGGGTACATCGGCGCAATGAATCACGCTTTAATTACGATTTGTAACGCGAATAAACGCGCAATAACTTGCGACAGAAACCTTCGTAGAAGATCCTCAAGTTCTCGACGCTCAATTACTTTTGTCTGCGCTTCCGGTGACTTCGCTTCGGTCGTCTTTACTGCTCGCGGACGAACGCACGCGCTCGTCTCTCTCTTTTTGCTGCGACCCTAGTAGGCTAAGTATAGAAACGAGTTCATAAGTGTTTGCACCGACTGAGGCCGTGCACCAGTACGTAAATTGAGAATTCGAAGATGTAAAAATTTCTTGATGCATAAATCAAATTTTGTATAGTCTCAAGGGCCTGATATCTAAATTGTTCAAAGAGCCTATCATATCTATATTTTTTTTATTAAAGATTTTATAATAAAAGATTTGAGATCATGAAATGGGAAAATCTGGAAAAAAAACATTTAAATGTTTCAATCCTCTCGTGTCTCAATTTCTATTTTAATTTACAATTCTACGAAGTCTGAAGCGTAAAACAAATTGAGATGGTTATTTTTCAAAATGCAATCATAAATCTTAACCTTCACTAGATATTAGGTACCTGCTGGGAAAAAGTCCAAGTAGCATTACTTTGATATTCTTATTATTCGAACAACTTAATTTTTTCGTTTAATTAATAATTTACTATGCATTATTATTGTAATAATTTGTAATGGTGATGCTTGAAAATAGCTATTAATCTTCATCTTCTTAAAACATTATATACCAACATTATATGCAAATGCAAGAAAAGGGTAATGAAAAAAGCAGTAGGTAAGCCTTGACCCACATTGGTATACTTTGAACTTCATAAAAGCATAAAAGAAGAGAATATGCAATTTGTTCTGTTTATTTAATAATTTTAAACATATATGTTTGGATTTTTTCTGTTATTAAATGCGTTTGCAAAAAAATCCAATTATCCGATATTATCAACATATTAAACTACATTACATTGAAATTAATTTATTTTCAAAATAGGAAGTTGTTACATCTTTTATTATTTTTTTTAATCGATTAACTGAAGAGAACTCAATATATAATTTCAGTGTAAAACAAACCGAGTAGTATTTTCAGTTCCACTGACAACACGCACAGTTCAAGATATATTTCTTCTAGAAACCATATCGATATTTATGTTATCGATATTATATCTGTGATTATTTTATTATTCTTTTATTCAACTAGATTTTCTTTAAAATATCCTCAGGAAATCGCATTACATGTATTTTTTTTAATTAAAAATGACTTCTAAAATGACAATCTCATCTCGTGTTTTAATCTTATTATTTATAGTGTATTATACAATAGAAATATAGAACCACACTTTATATGAAAATATAACTGAAATAGCAGATATATAAAGATAACATTTATTAGATATATTGTAATTATTCTCCAAATAATTTCAACGCTTGCACTTCCCAAGAAGCATATAAAAGTCAACAAGAAAACCAAAATGACTTTATTTTGATTCTTAACAGCAATAAACAGTCAAATTTTGTAACAAAAAAAATTATCATTTTGACTTTCTCTTGACTTGGTATGTCCCTTGAGTTATTATTTAGCGGGCGATTTATATATTTGTGAAAAGATAAAATATCTCATCAAAACAAAAAAAATATACTCACCTAGCAGATACCGGTCTCACGCGTACGGCCACTTTGATGTTCGCCATATTACCATCTCGCGAATAATAATGTTGGCGTCATCCGGCTATCTACATTTCGCTGATGTTTTTCGATGATGAGGCACAAAAGTCCAGGTCGTCACGGATGTGAAAAGTTAACGACAGAATGCACGGAAACGATCACTAATGCGATTCATCACATCTTTCGGAGATCGAATGCATCCGCTGACCTCCACAAATTTGGTAGCGTGAGCTGGCAGAGAGTGATCGAGACGAATGCGTGCACCGGTAGTATTGGGTGCACGTGTTGCACTACCGCGATGAAAATACCCTCGAGTCGCTCCCAAGACCATCCCGCTTCGTGGTTTACCCCACCAAGAGTGAGCGAGTGAACGAACGAGCGAGTTTAGTGAGTACCTCGGTCGAACTCACTGTGCCATTTTGCTTTTGAATGTTATCCGATTCCTTGCTTCCGACGACACCAGTACGGAAAAGAGAGCACCACGAATTATGTGTACAAGGCGTTCCATAAAACGCCAGATGGGAAATATGATTAGGATTTGGAAGAAACGATTTTGGACAGCTTGCCACATCGAGCTTGTAGAGTACAAAGGATTTGTAAATGTGAGAATTGAGAGTTTTAAGTGCTTGCTGGAGCTGAGTGCTCAAGGATGTCAGAATTGGAGATCTATGTACTTAAGAGCTTAAGAATCTAAAAATATAAGGACTTTGAAACTTCGAAGCTAAGAGTTCAAAGATCTAGTACTCCAAAAGCACAAGCATACGAAGATCTAAAAATATGAAAATTTAGTAGTGTTTTTCATTGTAGCGGGTTTGAACCAAACTGAATTGAATTAATGACATTGCGTGCTCTATTATTGCTAGAACATATATATAATGCCAACCAATAGTAGCAATGTCATTAATTCAACCAAGTTGATTTAAACCTGCTACGGTTGAAAACGTCATAAGCAAACGTAACGAATTAAAAAAATTAAAATATCTAAAATAATCTCGAATCTTAATATCTAAAAATTTTGAACATTTATACATTTGTTAATTTATAAATTTAAGAAAAGATCAAGATCTTTAAAAAATATAATATTGCAAGACTCTAAGAGAGGATGTATCTAATAGATTCTGTATTAGAAGCTAATTAATAATAATAATAGATATTATTGGAGTTTGATTCTCATTACAAAAGGAATTTTGCGTATAATACTCAAAATTGCTAGTTTGACATAAATAATGCGCACGTTTAATTTTATTTAAATCTCCTATTGTGGAACAAGCCGCGACTTACGAATCGCCCTGTAATTTAGCAAATAGAACTCGGCGGAACGAGCAAAGACAAATTGCTGCTGTTGCGGTATCGTTGATTATGTTACCCCCCTTTCCCTTCGTACAACGAGGGCATAGTCACCGGCATGTCTCGGTGTTTAACGGAGTTACTGGGTTACCGTGTTGCACGGTGGTGACGACCGCGACTTAACGCGAGTTTATCGGTGGGGAATTAATCAGAGGGTCAGAGGGTAATTTACTGTGCCTGTGTTCGCCCGCGAGGAAGGGAACGTCTCTCAATATTTAACAGAGAGCACGTACAGTCATTAAGAAGGCTCTCTCGGGTCATCGCGGCTCGTTCCCTTTGTATGTGTATTCCATTTCATCACGCATGATCTTCATCTCGATTTCTTTGAAGTACTTCATCTGTCTTTTATAATATTTTAAGAGTGCGCCGACTTTCAGACGAAATCCCTCTTTGATCCGCGCATGATATTTTCGGGCTAGCAGATCGACTAGCATATTCTCTGTGAGATAGAGCTAGCGCTACGATTGCTAGTGCTGATTCTTACTCCTCGCTTGCGGTCATCAAAACCATTATATAGGAGAAAGACGTACTGAGAACCTACAATATAATATTATATAATATTATTTATCATATTGTATATCGTAATGTAACTTAAACATTACTATAAATTAACTCTTCGTATATAATTCTATAATATATGTGTTTTATTTGTGTGTTATATGTGTTTTAATTTTGCACCTTTTATTAGTAACCTAAATTTTGAACTTATAAATTTTTATACTATTCCAGACGGTATAGAATTCTGAAAAAGTTTACATACTGCGGAAAGAACGATTTTGTTTTAAAGTACTTACTTAAAAATTCAACTAAATACGGATCTAAAAATAGATTTGTTGGACCATCAAAATAATTATATAGGAATCTAAAGCATAATGAACAATGCTGTAAAAAGTTTTGACACTCTAGCAACCAGTTTTAGTATTTTTCGTGATATATTTTGATGGTCTAACAAAATTATTTTTAGATATGTATGTAGCTAAATTTTTAGATATTTCAGCAAAATCCTTTCCGTGAAAACTTTAACAACGCGAATTTTTACTATCAAATTAAATTTTATTTTATTAATTTTTTTATAGATTTAAATTTATCTACCACAACTCATTAGAATTCATAATAAAAAAAACTGATTGTGCTTTTAAAATCTGACATTGCCGGCGAAAAGTTAAGAACTAATTGAAATTACTAATTTATTTATTAGAAAATATTAAATATTTTTAAATATTTTTTAAATAAAATTCTTTTATAATACCTAAAATATATTTGCATATATACATTTGATATTATTTTTCGTAAAATTTTGATTTAAAGAAGATCATTAACATCAAATATTGTATTTTAACATACACAAGATAATTATAATGTAATTAAGTCTTGGAGTATATTGCCTAAAATTAAATTTAGTTATTGTTTGACACAATAATCTACTCACTTGAGAGAAACTTTCGAGAGACATGCTGTAGAACTTCGCGGCGGTGATCCTGGAAGGAACTTTCGACCGCATCATCACGATCTGCAGACTCCGACCGAAAGTGCCACCGATCCAGTAGCTACAGTAAGCCGACTTGCTCACGGCATCGCTCTGGTTCGTTACAAGCGTTGGCCGTAAATTAATTACAGGCGATTGTAAGCTCAACGAACTATGTACTAATGAAGATATATGCGTTGGTAATCAGTCGATACGATTATCATGCATTCAGTCTTCCATCGCTCGTTAAAATTTGTGCAATTGCGATACGCTTGCAATCTGATACGTTATCTAATAATCTACGTCGAACAAAAATTTACGTATATAATGACGTAATTATAATGTGAACTGATAATAAGATGCATAAATTTTGCGCCATAATGCTAATTTAATCTAAATTTTATGCTGACGTTTTACTTTGCAAAAAATAGCCAGACATTATAATAACCAATTTGCAATCCAAATAAATCGATTAATTATAATTAGAAAATTAATTTAAATATTTATTTGCTTATCGAGCTTTCAGTTTTTATTTGATCAAATAATGTGTAATTAGATATAGAATACTCGCCTCGTCTATTAACGCGTGTCCGCTGAAACTGAACATGAAAAGCTCCAGGACAGCGGAGTTCAAAAACATCGAGTATTTCATCAAGCGTGCCTTGTTTTTCATCATCTAGAATAACATTTTGCAATATAATATTTTTAGTTATAACGCGTTTTTAGCAAGCGAACACACCGAAGTAATTTGAAATCCCGCGAAGCAAACCAAACCGGTGCTGATAACGAATTGTCCTAACGCTAAGATGTTTATGATTCTTTCGAGAGCATCTGCGAAACTGAAGCACAAAGAAAACAAAGAACGATGGCAAGAATTGTATTACTATATATTACGTATACAGTAAATTTACAGTGTTGTCTAAAACTGGAAATCAGGAAAATATCAGGAAAATTAAAAACGACCAGGAAAATCAGAGAAAAATCAAGCAGGATATTTTGGAAAATTTAAATTCTTGACTTTAAAGAAGTTTTATATGCGTACATCACATCTACGCAATTTAGGAATATGCAAATAGTATTGGTAACATTAATAGTAATTTGCATTGCTATGTTAAATTGCTATCAACAAAATATTCAATGGTTTCTAAAAAAAAAAGACGAAAATACAAAAAAATTAAAAATATTATTGAAGATATCAGAGAAAATCATAAAATTTTATCTGGAAATCAGAGAAAAGTTATGGAATTTTAGGATGAATTTATGATAACCTCCTGAAATATGCTGAAAAATGATTTTTTTGAAGTGTCTAAAAATTTAGCTCGAGATACAAATCTGAAAATAATTTTGTTGAATCATCGAAATAATTATATAAAAATGTCAAAACTTTTTGCTGCATTAATTGCTTAATGCTTAAGATTCCTGTGTAATTATTTTCAGATCTATATCTAAATTTTTAGATATTTCAGCAAAATCGTTATTTGTGTATTACAGACAAATTTTACACTAATATATTTATGCAAAGATGCTTTTTAATAGTGTAGTTTTATAAGTTTAATTATCAATTACTACTGTTCAAATAATTTTACATTTTATTAGAAAAGAATTATTTCAAAAATTGTTTCTTCTCGCATTTTTTAATATCAAATCGATCTTTTGTACTTAATACAGGTAATATAAATACTCACGTAATAGCATTTTGATGATCTTTAATGCAGTTTGCCATTGCTCTGTCAGCATTGGGATCATTGCTATTCATTGCTTCCAGCCTCTTTCGCAGCACCGCGAATTTCGCTGATCCATGCGTTATCGCGACAAAATTGAAACTGGTCGCGCCGATTATCGTGCCACCTCCAAAAAAGCCACCCATTACATTGAAAACATAGATACATTCGTAGACGGGTGTGACTGATTGATTGACGAAGAAATACCCCCGGAAAGGAAATGTCTTCTCTCTTCCAAAAACATATGCCTAGTCAAGCAAATAATATTTAGGACAGTTCTTTATCGCTCTTTATAGTTAATTAATTATCTTCTTATTGTTTGTGTAAGGATTATGTTTTAATCGAAAATAAAAACAAGATAATTGATAACAATTATAGTTGATTGCGAAGTTTGTGATGATCTTGCTTTTTAGATTATATTATTCAGTATTGATTATTATTGTGTTGTCTCGTATTTCCCTCTCCCCGGCTCAAATTAATTTTCTATAATTATTAATAATTTATTAACAATTTAATTACCTATGTATCGGAAAAATAAATACGGCGAAGGGATTAACATCTATGTAACGTACGTGTACGTGTGCAGGTGTTTTCGAAAGGCTCGTAAAGCGAAACGACCATCGGAAAACAATTTCCCGTGTAAAGGCACTACCGACGCATTTGCGAAGCGATAATAAACAATTTCGGGAGAACGGTACCTTACAAAAAGAGAAAAAAATGGAATTTCGAAAAGCTACAAATGTCAGCGTTAATCATCGTGCAATTTGCGTTGCCCTGTCGCACGTGTTGCATATGTCAATCTATCACCGTCGTTTCACAAAACATGAAATGGACATCTGCAAAAGTAGTTTTTCTCGTTTGAGAATGTTTGTTTTATAAATGTCTTGCAGTTAAAATTTATCGTTAAACATCGTTTTATTAAGAAAATAGGCAGTTAGATTTAAAGAAACTTCTGCAGTTAATTGGTCCACAGGTACAATTTAATAACGGAGTCAATTAAAAAGTTATAAAGAGAGAAGTACGAAGTTTTGAAGCAATAAGCTGGAGCTCTCAGGGAGATTTTAAGTTTTATATAAAAGATATTCTAATGTCACTTCATATTTAATTCAAAATAGATCTTTTATTATCATAAAATTGAAAATTTGTAATTCTACGAAGAGTAAGAACCTTGAAAATATCATATTAAATTTTCAGCATTAGAAATAAAAGATATATGAACAGAAATTTTTTCAATTGCGCGAATTGAATCTTAAGAAAAATTACTTTTAAATTCAAAAGTAGACTTTCTTACAATCTTTGTGTATTTAGAGACAATCTGTGTACGTCACAATAGAAATATTAAATATGTGTGCACGTACCTCTAAAATTGGTATGCATGAGAAGGTAGTTACGGTTACAATTACCATAATTATAAAGCATTTTGCGAGTCGAAATGCAAAAAAGCATTTCTCCTTTAGAACGACTCTATCTTCATAAGATGAACAAGTCCAATCCTTTCTCATAATCTCGACCACATATAGCATATCTTTTTGAGAGGTCGTATAGATAATGAGACGTAACGTGGCGAGATAAAGTGCGGAGCCCGTTAAAGCGCATGCTGTCAGTTCGTCCAAATCGTTAAAATTGTTAACTATATCGGCCGTCACGCTGATACACATTGAGATGAGCTATATGTTGCAAATGACATTGAATTATTCAAAAAATAGATCCAAAATGTTTATATTAATTACATGAGAGAATTCAGTGATAATCTATTTATTAATTGTAAAAAGTTTACGAGAGAAAAGACAAAAATGTATCAAAAGTATAACATTTATGCTCATAAAGCATACATTTTAATACATCATAGATAGCTTAAAAATGTTGATTCATTAAAGTCCTTTTTGTTCATCATATTATATTATATAAAACTATAATTCATTTCACTGATTTTTCATACACTGGAAAAAAATTATATTAAAATGCAAAAAATGATATTGAAACAGCATTATTTTAATTGAAAATAATCTTGATCCACAATAACAGTATTAATGAAATAAAATTTTTAAAATAAGAGCATGACGTATTTGTCAATTAATAGTGTTATCATATAAATTAACAAAATTTGATAAATATTATAATAAAATAAAATGTTTTTTATTATTAGGTGTTGGAATTAATTCGTAGCGTTTTTCAAGTGATGGGAAGTACTTTCATTAATGTATTTTAATGCTCATGTGAAATAAATAACATTCTTTCATTAAAAACGCTACGAATTAATTCCAACACCTAATAAAATAATACTGTTGATATAATATTGTATAATATCATTTTTTCCAGTATATAATTAGTGCAGAGTCCTTTACTTATAAAGATTAAAATATTGAATACTAATATAATATATTAATAGAAATAAATCTCTTTTCTTTATCTTAAAATTTTGTTGCGTCTAATTAAACCTCCTTCGGCAACTGGGGTTTTTAATTGCAAATTTTGGTAGATAAATTTAAATGGTCTGTAAATAAAATACAATCTAATACTTCTAGAATGATAAAAATTCATTGTTAAAAGAAAAATTAAATTTACTTTGTTTCTCGAAGACCCCTATTGCTGATGGAAGAGTTAAAATTCATATTGCGGTGAAGAGTTAAGCAAGGTATTAATTCTGCATACTACGAAAAAGAACCAGAGCACATGACAAGTCTTGAACACCTCCGCGCTAATTGAATGGTCTCTCTCCAAAGGCCAAAAGGAGACGAATTTAGCAGCTATCATGACGGGCTTGATTAACTCGTCGTATTCTTTATCAGCGTACACTTGACGTACCACTTGACGTTCCACTTGACGCGTACTCTTGTCTTCTCTTCTTTGACCCATTATCAATGCGACTCGACGATGATGCGATCGCGACTCGTGACTTTTTGTGACTGCGGAAAAGCCGGAAGTCCGTCACCGTTCGCTGACCGGCGAGAAGTCTATGTGCCAATCTCGAAAGTGCCAATCTTTTCTTCCCCTCTATTCTCGTGATTCGATCGCACGAATGACGAGATAACCGGATATCATTCTCGTAGGTGGCATAATGCCCGAAGTTCGAAACTCTCCACTAACGGGCGGGGCAAACTTCTCGCGTGCATAGATGTCGACCTGTTTCCCTTTCGATGGGAAAAAAAAAATGCATTGTCATCTCTTAACGTGAAATTACGCGAATCTTTGTGTGATAATTTATTATTTATTATAAAAATCGGATATTCTATTTCTCCATCATTTTCATGTATTTTTATAATTGATTAATATTATTCGTATGACAACTTCAATGTTGATCTGTGCGTGGTTAAGGATTATTTTAGATTCTACGCCAGTGACTTAGGGAAGTAACATGTAGTTACGAATATTCTATGTAATCATGGTAAGCGTGTAGGAAGTAAGAAGGTAATAGTTGAGAGCAAGTAGTTCTATCTTCGTAAGTGATTTTATTACAGGGGAATTTTGCGCTAGAAAGAGGGCTATCTGCGTCATTGAACGTTTTGTACTTTGCGTTAAAAATAAATGGAATAGTGAAGGAGAAGGAAAATTACATAAGAATACTTTTGTGCTAACAAGTAAGGTATGTAAAGAATATATTGAATATAATAGATTTTTGAAAATAAAATATATATTTCTTTTGTGCTTTGATAATTATGCATAAATACATATGGATTTATTGGCTATTTATACGATCGAAGTTTCTACCGAGTAATAAATATGCATCTATTCAATGTGACGATATTATTGCATAAATGTATAAACTATATAAATTTATAGATGCGTCTATTTGCATAATGCTAGAAATAACAAAGATAACTTTTCAATTATATCTTGTTTACGCATTATTTATGTTTTGTTATAATTTTGTCTTTACTTTTTAGCCATTTATTTATTATATTGTTTAATATATTTTTGTAATTTTTTAAAGTAGTTTGATTTATACGGGTTGAGGATGAATCAATAATAAACCGTATGGGGAGTAATTCCTTTTATAAAAATAAGTTTAGAATAAACTTTATTTATTTTTTTGTTTGAAGTTTTATTTCCGAGAATATAGTTTGTGAAAATTGTGTTCAGTATTACGCGTCTTCAATGAAGATTTTGTGAAAAGACACTGTATACAAATTTGTAATGTTTAAATTACGTCCACTTTATGAATGGCAAAATTTAAGAAAATGTGACAAATAGTTAAATTTTATTAATTTTATTATTTTAAGATTAACTTTAATCTTTATTTAACTTACTGTTTATTTTTTCTAATTTTTTTAAATTAAATAAGATAAAGAGTAAATTGAACCGAGATTAAAGTTAATCTCATATTGGTGGAACCGAGCTTAAGAGAGAAATTGTTTTATACAACAAAGCCTCGGAAGAAGTTTATCCTGTAATTTTATTTTTGTGCAAGAAATCTCTCGCGTTCAGTTGTATTATAGGCTTGTTCTGTATGTAAAATATATATTCTTTTTAAACATTTTGACTTGAATTTGAATTCAAATTTTGATCTCTCGATCTCGTAAGTAGACGATCGATAAATTGTGCTCCGACTTCACACTTCACACTTGGTTGAGAATCACTGGGCGAAGTCGTGCATGCGCAGTGGAATCAGGCTGACGCATGCATAACCTATCAGAACCAATCAAGACTGTCAAGAGGGTTGTTTTCGTTCGTGATAATTGTGACATCCTCGACGATCTCGCGAGGATATGAGTTATCATTATAAAAATACGCGATAGCCCCTGAGAATGGCTGCGCCTTATCTAGGCGTGAGCGATATCGTTCATCTGAACGTTGGCGGCACTAGGTAGATTAATTTCGCCAGTTATCAGTTTTTCTATCATCTGTTTTTACTTGATCCCGTTAAGTAAAATCTAATTCTTGCACTTATATATTAAGAGATTTTATATCTTTCAGATTATTTTACATTTTTTGTCTTGATATTTTACTGCTTCTTGGATCTTTTGTTAGATTTTTTCATTAATCTCTTACTAGATCTTTGACATGTCTTGACAGCATCAAATCGTTTCTCTTTTCAGATTCTCCACGTCTCGTCAAACTCTGACGTGGATCCCGGATTCTTTCTTTACAGCATTGTTAAGTAATAGAATCGACAGTCACAAGGATGAGACTGGTGCACTTTTTATAGATAGAGATCCAAAGCTGTTCTCTGTTATATTGAATTATCTTCGTACCAAGGACATTGATCTGAAAATTATAGATATTCGAACTTTAAGGCATGAAGCAGAGTATTATGGCATCACTCCCTTAGTTAAACGATTGATACTCTGTGAAGACTTGACTCAATCATCTTGTGGCGATGTACTGTTTTATGGTTACTTACCACCTCCAAGTGTGTTAATCATTATTTATCACATATTGTAATAAACGTAAAGTGGGAAAGCAAAATTGTTATATGAGAATGTAATGTAATGATTCTGTTTATTTAAAGGTATACCACTTCAAGAACCTGTTGCAGTAACATCAAATGTCAGTGATGTATCAGTTCATATTAGAGTTAGTTCAGCTTCAAACTCTAGAGTCGATGGACCCTCTACCTCGCAATCTATGACAACCACTAACTCTACTAATCAAAATGTTAACGGTATTTATAGATTTTATCACTGATTTATTATTAACACTCCAGAGCTGACAATGAATTTATTGGACTTACTCTAATATATTCTTTATGTTACATTTACAAATTTGAATTATTGTTCATAATTAGAAAGTAAAAAGGGCAATGAGAATCAAATGTGAAAAACAATGATAAAAAAAATATATATATATATATATATTTTTTTTTTAAATTACAACAACATAAATATTAAGTCACAGGAACAACTGCTCAATATTTATGACTTTTTTAAATATTTAATTATAAATAAACTTAGAGAATTTTACTTAGAAATGTAATATTTTTTGATGGTGTCTTTGTGATTCCTTGAATTAATTAATATCTTCTAATCAACATAAATTAAATGAGTTTTACAAATTCTGACATCAGTTGTAAAAGGTTAATAGATGAATATCTAAAATATTTAATTAGCGTCGAATAACTCAACATAAAAAACATTAAAACTGACAAATAATTATTTTGCCGTAGGGTCACAAAATCATAAAGGGGTATTGGGAACCCATATGAGAAATTCTTCTTTAGATTACCGATTGCCACAACGCGGTCTTCCGCATTCTCGCACACCATCTTTAGATCTGAGACATGCTAGGAACAATTCGGCTGATTTGAATAAATTATATAAAAATGATATTGGTTTAATATTTGGATCACAACAAGGTAAGTATCAATGAATCATTTTTTGTAAAATGATATCCATTTTTTTGCTTTTCATTTCTAATATTTATAAAATTACTTAATTGCAGTTTCATCATGGGTAGACCCTCTGAGAGTACAAATCATAAAAGCGCATCACAACTGGATAGTGATCGCTTACGCGCATTTTATCACATGCTATCGGCTGAAGGACTCGTCTGGATGGCAACACGTGTTCACCAGTCCGCATATCGAATGCATAATAGAGCGCGTGGCGATAAATGCAAAGATGGGAAGTGGCGCAGATGGCAAGATGGTTGCGATCTCCTATGGCAGTCAAGTAAGACTTTGGGGTGTGTCCGAAGAAGGGATCAAAATCAATGTGGGCACATTTAATTTAAATGTGCGTGTAGAATACTTATTCTTCATTGGCAGTCAGTTAGTTGCGTTATCGCCGACTGGAAAAATCGGTGTGTGGCATGCAATGACTCATCATTGGCAGATACAGGACGTAGTGCCCATCCTGTCATTTGACACGGCTGGATCTTTTCTTCTATTAGGTTGCAATAATGGTTCTATTTATTATATTGGTAAGCAAAAAAGATATTATATTTCTAAGTAAAATTCTTAGTACAAATTGTCAATTTATATATTAGAAGAGTGTTATGAGAGAGTATAAAAATTATATTCTCTAAAACCTTAAATATTAAAAGTAATTAAATCATTAAAAAAATATTTAATGGATTTAGATCATGGATTTTTTTGGATCACAAGCTAATTTTTAAAGAATGATGCAATTATATATATTTCGAATACTATATGAATTACAGACATGCAAAAATTTCCTTTGCGAATGAAGGATAACGACCTACTCGTGACCGAGTTATATCGAGATCCGAGTTATGATCCCATAACTGCGATATCTGTGTATTTGACGCCGAAAACTAGTAAGTCTTCCTTTATGATTATTCTTATCTTAATGTAAGAATGTCATTAAATAATAAAAATCTAGAATTCCAAAGTAAAAACTTTTTCCTTTAGAGACAACTAGGACTATTTGTTAAAAACCGATTCGAACGAGTGACGTATTTTATTAAGATTGTTTATTAAAGCTGCTTAATGCAGAATGTAATAACAAACGTCACTATTTCAGCAGCTTCATTTTGCAAGGATCATTTTTTCAATTGCTGTGCATACATTAAACACAATAACAAATCATTAATAATCACATATATATATATAGGTGTAAATATAAATGTTTTTTTATATTACCAGCGTCTACTAACCAGCGTCTATTTTATTTATTAAGATATTATAGGAATATTATAAGGTTTGATGTGTTGGTCCTTAAAAGATATTAATGAGAGTTTATTATTACATTCTTTGCTTCATCATTTCTCGTACAACTGGATAAATAGCACAAGGCAAGTATGGGTCGATGTAAGCAGACTTTCTGCTTTCTCACGTTCAACTCGTACAAAACGAAGCGTCATCCGCCTTCATCTTTGTGTTGACTGCATCAAACATGATTCGTGCGATTAAACAGCAAATACTCTCTTCCTCTCCAGATAGCGTTAAATTTTATATCGATACACTGGCGCATAGTCATATATTTTTTGCGTATTAAAATATAAAAAGAAATACTTAAATATAGAAATGTCTCTGTGACAAAATTATTTATTTTATAATTCATAGAATGAATGTGAACACATGTCTTTTTGTATGTGCGAGAGTACGAATTCACATGGGACTTATGAAATGATATTAGATTGCACAACTTATACACAACCCTGCTATCCTTATGCGTCCAGTTGTACTAACGCGATGTTCTTTTATTTTTTCGCATACTTTACGCAGTGGATTCAGTTAATCTGATTTAGCTGCTTGCTTGCTCTTTCTATTCATAGTAATATGTTCCATGCCAGCATCTGAGAGGGGAAAGGGAGGTAATAGAAAACATGTATCTTTGCTTGTATACTTTTTTTCGTTGGTAGTGACAAATTTATAGGTAATTTTTACTTTTTTTTAACTAAATCTATGCAAAAATTAAATTTAAATAACATTAATTACTGCCCACATCGTGTTATTGCTTAATTATAAGATATAATTTTAATTTTAGATATATATATATATATATATATAATTGTTGCAATGTGCAGCATGAGGCATTGTAAGCTTTGAAACATCATAAACATTATTTTTTATTAATAGTACTCATTTGAACATGTATGTTATTTAAAGATTACTTCACGTTACGTCTACATTTTTGAAATGTTTCATTATCGTAGTTATTATATCAGTAATTAATCGTTTGATACACTATTAAAATTTTTTTATCCGTAAATTTCATACAATATTAAATTGGATAAATATAGATTGAAGTGAAAATCTTAATAAAATCTTAATGATATAATAGTGTTAAAATTATATGTATGATCAGAGATGTATTTAATCTAATTCTTAAAGTGTATCAGGTGATTAATGCAATATGTAGCACATTTTTTTAAAGTATATCAATTCCCAAACATAGGTCTCTGCGGAAATTGGATAGAAATCGCCTATGGCACGAAATCCGGAAGTGTCAGAGTTATCGTTCAGCATCCCGAAACAGTTGGCCACGGTCCGCAACTATTCCAAACTTTTACAGTGCATCAAAGCAGCGTAACCAAAGTACATTCAGTATCAATAGAATTATATTAGGTGTTGGAATTAATTCGTAGCGTTTTTAATGAAAGAATGTTATTTATTTCACATGAGCATTAAAAAATACATTAATGAAAGTACTTCCCATCTCTTGTAAAACGCTACGAATTAATTCCAACACCTAATATATTAATATTGTACATTAAATTACAATATTAACTTATGTGCAAAAATTATATTACAGGTAACACTCTCGGAAAAATACTTAGTATCGGTTTGCTCGGAATATAATCACGTCAGAAGTTGGGCAGTGACCAGATTCCGCGGAATGATTTCGACTCAACCGGGATCGACGCCAGAGGCAAGCTTCAAAATTGTTTCTTTGGAAGCAATTGACTCATGCGTTAGCTATAATGCCGGCAACGATTTCGGTATGTTGTAATATCGCAGCTCTTAAATTATCACCATTCTTTTTAATAATTTATTATATTTAAAATTATTTTTAAATAATACTTTTTATATATATATATGTATATTTTAACGCGTTTTTATTTTTATTAAATATCTTTTAAAATGCGAATTTTATCTTTTTGATTTATTTAATATATAAATAAAATATCATAGGACCATTCGGCGAACAAGATGACGAGCAAGTATTCGTACAAAAAGTCGTACCCGAAACTGATCAGTTATTTGTACGATTAGCGTCGAATGGGAAAAGAGTTTGCGTAATACAGTCGGTGGACGGCAGCATCATAAGCTCATTCTATGTACACGAGTGTGAAGGTTCTAGTCGTATGGGCTCAAGGCCCAGACGTTTCATATTCACTGGTCATTCTAACGGCACCATTCAAATGTGGGATCTCACAACGGCATTGGATCCGTCTTTCAATGCCACTCGAGGTACATTACTCTCTCCCGTTGTATGACGTAACGGAATCAGCGAGCATGACTCACATACGAAATAGTGTAGGAAGTAGAAAATTAACATAAATCATATATTTAAGAGAAATGTTCTATAGGAAGCAAACAAACTATATTTATTCCATGTTATTCTATATTTATTCTGTTTATTCTATATTTTTCCTTTATTTATTCTCTAATAATTTTTGTTATTATTCAGATTGTATTTTAGAGAGGAAAAAAATGCCTCTATATAAATTATTGCGATTATTTCTTTATGATAAATATTAATTTTATATTAATTTTCTACAAGACTTTTTGTAATTAATTTCGTCGATTGAATTAAAATGTATTGTCAGATTTTTATTATCTCTCCGTGTCTTTTTTACAATAGATACCTCCGGTGGACCTACGCCAGAAGAACTTTGGAAGTTGTTGGATCAATGTGATCTAAGCAACAGCCACTGCTCAACGCCTTGTATTAGTCCGTCTCCTTCTTTGCTTGCAGCTGGACCTAGAATTAAGTCAAGTAACGTACTGTTTCTCAATCAATCGCAAAATCCAGAATCAACGCCTGGACCAAGTCAAACGTAAGGATGTGCCTGATGCAAGGTATGTCGTGCCAAAATGCACACAAACAGAATCTGCATTTATTTAATTATTTATTTATTATAAACCATCAAAAAGTCTGTAGCCATAGTTCCTAAATCGCCATCTTTGTATTTTCAATGTGTAATGAGACCGAAGTTTGCTATCTGTCTACTCAAACAGTGCAATTTAAAAATAACGTAACGAAAGATATGACTGCATTTATAAACTCTGTAGCCATTATTGTTGAAATCATTATTTTAATAGAGAAATTTGCTCTTGTGCGTAAATATATATACTGTTTTATTAAATTATTTTTAAGAAAGCTTGATAACATCACTATCGCTTTTGAATATTATACACAAGAATATTGTTGTTGACATCATAACAAAAATTTTTCTAAAATTTACTGTTTAAAAAATTCTATAAATGTCTAGAAATTCATAATTATATTTTTTCTTGCTACTTATTGTTATTTGTTTTATTGCAAAATGGCTATTAAGAGAGATCGATTTTATGATACTGATATTGTTCGATGTAAACTTTTATATGTTGGCTCGTATATCGTTTAATAAGATAAGGGAAGGAAGAGATATTTGACAAAATCAAGAACTGATAGATAATATAAGTTAAACATTTTGTTTATATATTATGTATATATGTATATTCAGTTATATATTCTGTATCAATGTTATAAAATGAATCAAATACGAGATGCGTAGAATCATGCACGGAATCATGTTATTTGTCACATCATTTTAATTTCTCGAAACAAGATTACCAAATAGTTTCGAATTCTGATAGATTTACATTGTAAATCGGTAATGTTGACCAACATTATGTCATCATTATATGTATATCAATTTCTATATAGCGATCTTGCTTCGAGTGTAAAACATTTAACATTATTTCAACATTGTATCAACATTTTATATCCTGAATATTATTTAAGAAGTTGATTTTACTTATTTCTTGGTTAAAGAATAGTATACATTATATATGCAATTAAAAGATTACACATATATTCAAAGATCGAATTGTACTCTCATTATATACATAAATACTTACAGCTTCATTGCATATATAATGTATACGTGTTCATCAGTGTACATATACATATATAAAACTTATAGTAATATTATTGCGCAATCGCGTTACTTCTGTGATTTAAATAAACCATTGGTATATGTATGGAGATGCATACTTATTGTTTGAATATTTATCACTGCCATATATATATGGACATCTTATATACACTATACATAGAGACTGTTATAAAAGTAGACGATTAGAAAGATCGTTTTAGAAATTTTCTCAGTAGGTTACATTAACTCTATAATAATCTATATTATAATTTTTGTTTATAAAAATCTTTCTCTGTGTCTGAAAATCGATAACATTTAACGAATTGGTTATGAAATAATATAATGTTGCGGCATATAAGTATGTGCAGCAATTCGTAAATAATAATTAGAGCTGGATTCTTCGCATTTTGGTTTTGCGAACAAGTTCATCTAACAGTTGTAACATTCGTAATCACCACTATAAAAATTTAACTCTCAGGCACTACGGTGATATACTTTGTAACAATGCCGAACTGCACGATTAGTTAAATTACAGCTATATGAATATTATAGTTAAAATCTATCGAATATATAGTTAAAATTAGTCTAGAGTAATGTTAATTTCTGCATTATTTTTCGACAGATAGTAGTATTGTACTCTTTGTTAAACATAAATATAAAATATTCCACAACAATGTGTGTGTAAACCGGAAGATCGGTGGAATAATTGCGGTAAATTCTGCATAAAAACATTTAACCCTAGTATTTGTTATATCCTAATATTTGTTAGAGATCGGACGTGTCTCATATAAAGTGTTTAGTCCAGAATAAATTATTATTGAACAATGATGGATGAGTCATCGGCATCAACAAGTAACACCAGGCGATCAAACCGATCACAAACAGACACATCAATCCAGCTCTTTTCAATGGATTCTTGTATGCTGCTATCTCAGAAAGATCAGGAAATCCCATGTGATTGCAGAATGAATGCGCAACAAATGGTGCAACAAAATGTCCTAAGAAAAATATATGAAATCGAAAAACTTTTTTCGCTAATAATTTTAGGACAAAAAAAAGTAAAATGATCCTACCTGTCCTCGCAAAAAGAAAGGCCGCGTATGCTCCAAATAACGTCGTATACGTAGACTGAAAACCTAAATTCAATGTAATTAATTTATTTCAGTTCATTGGATATTATAAGATGCTTTTCATTTGATGATATAAGCATCATTTCTTCAATGAGTAACAAAAATAGAACGATACTTGTGTTAACTTGTGTTATCAAATGAAAAGCCATAAATTCCAAGTATTCACCTTAAAACTTACAAGATATAAACAATGCGTGTTTGATGCTCATTCCCATCTTTACTCTCTCCACTACATGATGGAAGTGAGCCACCCCGAAGAATAGAGGGCACACGAATATGGCAGTAGTCGGGGTGAAGCATTGCAGGAGTAACGGCAACATGCAAGCCCTAAAGGTCCATTCCTCGGATAATGGAGCGACCACTTGATTTCTCCACCAAGTTAAAGTTTGTACGCTCGCCAGCCAATACATGGGCTCTATGATAAATGTACAGCTATTAACTGTTATACGTTAATGCCAATTTCCATAAATACAGATTAACTTTAATTTTAGTCCCAACTTACAATTTAACTTTTTTTAATTTTTAGAAATAGGAAAGGAAGAGTAAGTTGGAATCGAAATTAAAGTTAATCTATATTAATGGACGCACATTAGACTCTCAAGTCGAGTTCGGATACCAACCGGTGTACAATCGCCATAGCCCACTGAATCCCTGTAAACTCAAGGGACCTAGGAACAGGATCATCGTTAGGAGCAACGATATCACAGTCGCCTGTATTAGACCCGTCCATCGAAGGCCCAATATTTCCCAAATGGTTATCTGTTAGGTACAATAAAAATAATTATCTATAGAGAATAGTAAAAGCTAAATCACGTGTAAACAGAAAATACCTTTTGAAGTATCTTATCATTTAATCCAAAGTACAAGGATATCGGCGAAACAAGAGTCATAATAAATACGCTAAAAAATCGTTTCTTTATGGTCGATGGATGCTCTCTGAAACATAAGCCATCGAGTGTAAAGTTTAAGAATATGATATCAAATATTTTTATAAATAAATATATAAATTATATGAAATGTCTGAATTATATGTTATATTGCAGAAATTAATAGAATTATTAATTTTGTCAGTTGCTTCATAATTATTATAATCTGAAATTATATTTGCTTGTGCAAACAGTAGCCTGTTCATATTAGAATTACTTGGACATCTTTTTTTAAAATCTATACTATATGTATTATATATTTATATATTTAGTTGAAAAAAATTAAACTGAAGAGATAAAGTTTATCATCACATGTTGCGACAAACGTCAAAAAAATCTTAGAAAACAGATCGTTTTAAATTTGAATGATTTTTACAAAAAATTACAAAGCATTTTGAGTACTTTAATATACATATTACTGGAAATTGATAGGATTATTAATTACTTGCCAGTTATTTTATAATTATTATAGTTATCGAAATTATGTTTAATTAGCTTCCTTAACACTAGAATTGCTTTAAAAATTAAAATTGAAAAAGAAGTAAATTAATTTAATTATTACAATAAACATCATGGAAATACATCATAAATTCGAATAATTTTTCTACAAAATTATAAAGCGCTTTTACTTTGATAAAGTAATAATTAACATCACATTCGGATTCGAATATCGCGCCAAAGAGACGCCGTTAATCGTGTACGATCTAGATGGCGCACTCGATGTCTCCTCCATCGCGTGACGTCCCCGGAATTCCGTTTGACGGGTTTTGCCGTGCGGCGCTGGCTGCCGTTTGTCCAGAAATTCCAGGAGCGGCGCCGCGACAGGGAGCCGCAGGGAGCGCCACCACGTGCGGACAACTGCGTGCGTCAGTCACAGCATCCATCCGGTCGGTGTGGGACGGTTCGCGTTCGCGAGCGGTTTACCGAACAGACAAGTGTGCTCGGACAAGACGGAGGCGCGAGCCTCCTCCACGCGAGGAGTCTCGCTGGATGGACTGGACGTTTTTGAAGGAGAGGAAGAAGCGCAGGGTAACATCGAGACTCGAGAGTGTGCGGTGATCACGATACCGCCGTCGTCGTCGCTATCGCCGTCGCCGTCGACGCCGGACGCGTTACCGCAACGTACCTGTTGTGCGGCGAACTCCAGACATAGAGACTCGCCACGTAGACGATCGAGAGCGCGAGGCACGCGAGGATCGCCGTGGCGCAGTTTGGCGAATTATCGGTACTTGGTTCCGCGGCCTCCATAACTCCATAACCGATGTCGGTCGTCTGTGTCGCGCTCCACTGCGGAAGGGGGGCTCGGTAATAAGCCCCGTGGCTTTAGCGGAGGATCGCGGGGACGAGAGAGAGAAGGAAAGAGAAGAGAGATAGAGGCGCCGCAGCGGTAGAGGGTTGGAGACGGTAGAAGTCGAGACTCGACGGTGTGGTGTGAGTCGAATGGGGGGTGGGGGGTGGACGACGGCACTGGCAGTACTGGCACGCACTCGCACTCGCAGGGCAGAAACTTGTCCGATTGGCGGCTGCCCTCTGGGCCAGTCGGCGAGCAGAGACCAAGAAGATGGCCGCCGTGCACGGTGGTAATGTCGCTATTGTGTAGTGCATCCTAAGCTTTTGGCAGCTTTTCTGCCGTGGGCAGCGTCCGCCGAATACGGTACCGCGGCGGCTGCCCTACTGCCGGGGACGGGGGAAGGGTACCGCCGGATCTCATCCTCGCGACGTATCCTCGTAGTAGTCGGCAAGTGCGACGAATCGCGATCGACAGAAGCGGAACAGGAGAGGCAGACGGCGACGGAAGAGGAGCAGGAGGTGGTGGAGGAGGAGGAGGAGGAGGTGGGGGAGGAGGAGGAGAAGGAGGAGGAGGAGGAGGAAGAGGACAACGACGGCAACGAGGACGGACACGAGGACGACCGCCGAGGGCCGCCGACGACACGAAGATGCCGAGCGCGTCGTTTTCGTCGTCGCGCAGCTACGTGCGGAGGTCGCGTCGAAAAAACGGAAACAGGATCCCCTTGCCGAGAACGGGTAAGCCGAGTGAGCGAGCGAGCGAGCAAGCAAGCAAGCGAACGAGCGAGCGCAACGGAGAAAGAGCGAGTGAACAAACGAGAACGAGTGAGCTGGAGTGAACGAAGAGGGACGAACCGAGGGAGCAAGCGAGAGCGAGGAGACGAGACAAAGACGGCTTTTCCGAGTCGTCGCCGTCGCCGTCGCCGTCGCCGTCGAAGCTCTCTCGTCCAGGACTCTCACGTCCGCTCCATCTCTTCGTCGCTTCCGTCGTCCCGTCGAGACTCCACGTCGAGATCCTCCGGGGTGCTCGTGCCGTCGGTGACGATCCCCGAGACTCCACGCCTTTGTTCCCTGGGAACTATGTATGTACGCGGGGGCACGCGCCGCGTTTCCTGCTCGCCCTCGCTTCGATATCCGCCCATTTCTTCACGGCTTCTTTCTCCAGTCTCGCTTTTATCCTCCCACGATTCTCCCCCGGTTTCTTTTCTTCCGTTCTCCTGACAGTCTCGCTTGGAACAGCGGACTTTGGAAAGGTGCTAAAAGAGGTGACCTCAAACCTGTGTCCAGTGAAAAAGGAAAGAAAGATTGCTTTCGGAACTATAAATTTAGTGTTATAGTCTGATGATATATAGGGAATAGTCTGTTTTAAATATTCACGAGCTACTGCATGTATTTCATGTTTAGCTGCTTCGAATATATGCTCTATGCGTTTTGCAGCTGAGGTTAGGTAGCGTAGAATGTGCGCAATGATAAAACTGTCAATCGGAGTACTCTCGCTCGCAGTTGCAACGACAAAGGAGCAACGTAGTTAACATCAGATGACAGTCGCGTGTTTAACTGTTAAAACGTCAAGCTCCGCAATGCTGTCAATCGTATCCCGATCATTCGTGCTCCGGAATCTGCGCCACCCCCTCACCCCCCCCCCCTCCTCTCCTTGTTCGTGAATCGTTTTTCGGATTTACGAGCAATTTCCGATTGGCAGCTACTAACGGCCATATTGCTTTTCGGTATTTGTGAATAATTTCTGATTGGCGGCTGCGCGTCCACGGGAACGCGATACAGTTCGTGGACCGAGAGAAGGTTGCAACACTTTCTTTTTCTCTTCTTTTTTCTGCCGATGAGTTGCGGAACGCAGCGTCTCTCTCGCCATCGCGCGCTGCCGTCCGGGTAAACAATGGTGAACGAACGACTAATCGAACCGCCGGATACTGTTCAGCGGGTTCAGCCTTGAATGAGAGCGCGAATCGGCGAATTGATAAAATTGCAAACACCGTCAAATCGCAAATTCGAAGGTGCAATTTCGAAACGAGGACGAGAGGAAGCGTCGCGTGCTCGCCAACGGGAAACGGTGGGTGATCACTGTTGCAATAATATGTAGGGCCGAGTGTCTCCAGGCTATAATATAATAAGGGTTGAACGACCCCACGGTGGATCGAGGGTATGCGACCCTTAATGTAACGCAATATCGTGATGAATTGAAGTCTCCCGCTCCGTTGGAGAACATTTGCTTTTGTGTACCTCGTGCAGAAACGGTACCATACGTCCTATGAGCCGATCGTATCGATTCGCGATCTCCACTTCGTGATCAATCCGCCGGAATGTTGGCTCTGTAGTCGCCCTCTCTCTCTCTCTCCCTTCCTCTTCTTTCTTTTCCTCTTCGGTCTTTTTCTCCTTTTTCCTCCTCCCTCTCTCTCTCTCCCTCCCCCTCTCTCTCCCTCTCTCTCTCTCTCTCTTTCTCTCCTCATTTCCGACTCGCCAGCGATCCAGCTGGAACGCGGCGCAGCTTGCGAGATGCACGTCGATCGGTGCCGAATTTTCCGGTCCGAGAGAGGGAGAGCGATCGAGGATGAAACGGAGAGAGGAGGAGAGTAGAAGCGGGAGAACAAACGGAAGCAAAATGGGAGGACGAGTGAGCGAATATTCTTGGGACCATTGAAGCTGTGACGTCCAAATATTCCGAGAGATTCAGTTGTCGTTAAATGATTATTAGCACGCACGACGATACTTGAGATTCTTATTGTTAGAAAGACACAAAACAATATATATTGAAAATTATGTTGAAAATTAATTGGCTTTTACGGATGGGAAAGTCACTGTAGTAATGTTGAAACAGTTTTGAAACATCTTTTTGAAACAAGAAATAATGAATTATAATAAAACTTAAGGAAAAGCTGTAAGATTCTAAAAATAGACCTCTATATTCTAAAGAATGCTCTATACTGAGAAAAATTTTTATTTGAAAGCGAACGAACCAGAAAATTCTAATTATATCACTCAGATTTTTGATTATCTCAACTAGAATTATAATAGATTCAATCATAAAGTTCTATTCACATCAATTAAAATTTTGGTTATTTCAACTAAAATTATAATAGATTCAACCAGAAAGTTTTGATTTGTTCATTTTCAATCAGAATTCCAGTTAATGCAATTAGACTCTTTTTACAGTGTACTTAAATTCTAAAAGATGCTCTATTTAAGCTCAAATATAATTAAATGACATAGCTTGATATTGCTGATACAGATATTAGGACGTTTATATTTGCGAAAGTCACAGATAAAAATAAAAATGATGTCATCCGATATAATCTCGTACTGGGAAAAGTGTCTGATTGAATTAATCGGAATTCTCATTGCAAATTGGTGAATTAGAATTTTCTGGTTCTAAAATCTATTCAAATTCTAATTCTTTAAATAACTAGAATTCTGATTAATATAATCAAACTCTTTTGGTTCATTTATTTTCAACCAGATATATTTCTCAGCGTGACAGGTGCTCGAGGATCGATCTTCTACGATCGTTGGAATTACATCGTCCAGGATTTGTCGAAAGACAAGACACTTCTAAAAGAGTTTTTTTGCAGGAGAGGAAAAAGAGTGAAGGAGAAGGGGGAGGGGGAGAGAGAGAGAGAGAGAGACTCGATGTCTGTTACGCGGTATCGATGCGTTTTGAGTGACGAATTACCAGTGCTCCACTTTCGCGAGAAGACTCGGCGTGACCCGGAAACGTGATCGAGAGTGATGCGTTTTGAGTGACGAATTACCAGTGCTCCACTTTCGCGAGAAGACTCGGCGTGACCCGGAAACGTGATCGAGAGTATCCCCGGCCCCCAGAAATCGGCGTGTCTCGGTGGATCCCACACGAGCAGCGCCCTCCCGTGCTGCGTGTATCCGCCGCGTGTGCCAGCAACCAGCTAGAAAGTGAAACGTCAAGGCGCTGTTTACGGAACGGAACCGAATGAAGCCATGCATGATGACGATTCGATGCCCGTTGAGTACGCGAAAACGATTCGAAAATGAATGGAGATAGGTCGTAGTGCCGGGCCTTAATCATCAATGAACTTTTGTCAACTTATACCTTGGCATAAATCTTTGTCTCGCGATTACGGAGATCGGATTTGACGAAAGCCTATGTGTGCTCACACATTTCATAGTAATCGTAGACGTATTATTGGGAAAGATACAACACGATGTATTAATAGTTGTTTATTGCACAATGCGCACTCTTTGATTTTACGATATGTTCGACACATATGCATAGCTGAAAGTTTGTGTTAAATTTAACATATTTCACGTATCCCAAATGATCCACTCAAATGTTCGCTCAAATGTTTATGTTCATTTAATACAAGATGAATATATTAGAAAGTAACACAAATATTATATTTAAAAATTAAAACAAAAAAGATAAAATTGACAATGTTCGTAAGCAAACTGAAAAAACTACAATATTTTTTAAAATTAACATTTATGATATGTTAAATTAAAATGTATTTTATTCATTTATCTTAAAATTTACATTTAAAATCACATCATTTATCCACTCATAAGTTGTATTACTCTGGAATATTGAATATGAAATTATATTACTAAAAAATGAATATTAATTTCACTCAAATGATTTTAATAATATAATCACATTATTAACACTCGAATATATTAATAATTCAACACAAAATTTTTTTGAGTGAACTATTTTCAACACAAATACAAAGTATTTTTTATTGTGTAGTGTAAGAATTATATTGTTATCATCATATTTATTTACGTTATATAGTTGACGTTAAAAAATTGAACTAGCAAACTCGTGTGGGCCATTTTCATTGTTCGTGATTTCATCATTGCACATTGATGTGCAATTGGATTTGCATAATGTCAACAATTACATGGAAATACATGTAATCGCAACGTTGTTTTTTATTAACAGATTCTCCATGCGGGCTTGCGACATTATACACTTGACAATTTATGCCGTAGCATTTGTAAAACAAGGTCACTTTGTATCACTATGTAAATTCTCTAATGGTCCCTGGTTTACTATAAATTACATGGCAGATAGCAAATGTTTGCACATGCAGTTACAAATGCTTTTTGTTTATATTATATATGATATATAATATGATAATTGTTATGATATATACAATACAAGAATGTAATGTTATACAAGCTTATTTATGTTCGCGCAGAGAGAATGATAGAGAGAGAGAGAGAGAGAGAGAGAGAGAGAAGGAGGGAGGGAGAGAGACTGCTTTCTATCCTGCTTAACTTCTAGAAATGTGCAAAAATAAACAAAAATAGAAACTTAAAACGATCTCTTTCTTTTCAGGGAACTTTGGAAGATTTTATATCTCCTTTGAGGTTTTTGGAAAAAGTATTCGTTTCTATTTCTTTTTTTGTTTCCTTTTTTTCTAACGATTATGTTTTGTGTTCTTAGCCGAGCCGTGCGATCTACCATGTCCAACGGCCAATCAGATCATTCCAGTAGTAGTTGGCGGTGGAGGCGGAGGAAGTGGTGCACGAGGCTCGTCCCC